CCTGTATGGGTAAGAGGTAAGAGTAGAGCTCTGGTCATCCTGGTTCTGAGATCTGATTTTCTAGATAAATAAATAAACAAATAAATAAAAGCTAGGATTTATGTAACACTTTAAGATTTATGAAGCACTTTGCAGTTGTTATTTCATTTAATCCTCACAACAATCCTTTGATTTAGGTGTCATTAGTAGTCCCATTTTACAGATGAGGAAATTGAGGGTCAGACAAGTTAAATGACTTGCGCAGTGTCACCTTGGAGGCAGGATTTGAATTTAGGTCTTCCTTTTCCCAAGCCTAGAACCCTCTCTAATATGCCATGCTGCTTCTTTATTCTAATACTCTATCAAAAATTAAAAAACAAAAAACAAAAGCCATGCTTTGAAAAAAAAGTAAACGGCATAATGGATTATTGGGATTGTCTGCTCAGGGAGAAGTGACTGGCTCTTCGTGTTTGGCCGGCCTGCATGGCACCATGGACATTGCAGGGACTGATTCCTCTGATCTTGCATCCCCAGCTCGAAGCAGTCCAGGGAATGCTTCCTTGAGTTAATGATTGCACTGTCTTAATAAACAGATGTTGGGCTGAGCAGTTGCCCAAGGGGATCTTGCCCTGGAAAAGTCCCAGGCAATACGTGCTTTTGAGGAGTGGGAAAGTCCCAGGATCTTTATTATTCTTTCTCTTTCCCATAGGGCATGATGGGACTCTCATAGATGTTGAATGGAAGTAGGGTACCCAGCACAATTTCATTCATAGTCAGATCAGGGGATGAACACCAGTGGCCTAAACCCTTGGATTATCTGGCCAATTTAGCATTCTGAAGTAATGCCCTCATGTCCTGAGAAGATGCTTTATCAGCTTTTATGGGTGTTTTTTCTGGCTTTCAAACCCATATCTGCCCAAGGACAAGTTTTGGATAGACTGTACAGGTTCATAGCTGTAGAGCTGGAGGTGACTTCCAAGGCCATCTAGTTCAACCTCCCCATTTTACAGATGAGGAAATTGAAGTTATAGAAGGTTTGGTGACCTGCCTGAAGTCATATCAGGTCCTAAATGTCACAGGTTGGATTTGAATGTAAGCTCCTTGAGGGAAGGACTGTTTCATTTTTTCTTTACATCCATAGTGTCTGACACAGTGTCTGGCACATTGCTTAAATGTAGTGCTTAAATATGTGTTAATTTTAATATTTGCTACAATTTTAAATTATTTTAGGTATTGCTTTAATTTGAACAGATTCATTGATTGGGGTCTATGGTGTTTAGAGGAGAAGGATGAGGTTTAACCCTCCTCCCCACTCTGTAAAAAAACACAAACACACACACACACACACACACACACACACACACACACACACACACACTCTATTTGAATTGTAGTGATTCAGAAAAAGAAGAAGACATTTAGACTTTAGCCTCACCATAACACCGGCGAGGCTCAACCAGGCTCTTTCTTCCTTCCCTTCCACCTCAAGATAGAAATAAAAAAGTGGGCTGAGATGAGAAGGATATTGGTCTTTCCAACTTCCTGGTCCCCCATATGCAAATCATTTAGCTACCCACAACCCATTCAACTGTAATAGAGTCTAGATTCCCAGAGTAAATCATTTCCATTCCCACCACTGTTCCCTTGGTAGGAAAAACAACAAGAGGTCAACCCCCGAGCTCCGTAGCAGCTCTATGGCTGTGCTCCTGACTCCTTCTGGAGCGACATCGGTGAGCAGCTAACCATGTGCCTCACATCTCCCCACTGGCCTTTTCATGTCTGGAAGGTTTTGACTAAAATAATTTCCTTTTCGTGTTTCCCAGAGAGTGCGGCTTCAGTCAATGTGTCCAAGTGGCTGCTTGGAGAGGATGTTTTTAGAAACTTTCTGTACCTTTGTACCCTTTGACTATGACTATAGATTCTTGTGTGTGTTTGTACATGTGTTCAGGTGTGTGTGTGTGTGTGTGTGTGTGTGTGTGTGTGTGTGTGTGTGTTTGTATGGCACTCATGGTTGTTTGTTTTTTTTAAGGACTTTTGGGCAGTCTGCGTGGCTCTTAACAGTTAACTGGTGGATCCTGTTTTCCAAAGTTCTGTCCAGTTTCATGTTTGTGCCACAGCTGTTGAGTGGTGGAGGATGTAAAAAGAAAGTTTTCATTTAATAAGGCCTTTGGTCTTTCCTATTACTGGGGGCAGGAACACATGGTTTGCTTTAGCAACCTGGAATGAAAAAAACTTTCAGTCTTTTCATCCTCTGGGCCCTGTGGGAATACAGGTATGGGCTGCCTGAAAACACACTCAGAAAAACTACAGAAAGATAGGAATCCCATTTACAAAATAGAAATTAGGGAATCATTATTCATGTGACAAGAGGATTCCCCCAGGATCCCTTTGAAATGGGAATGGGAACACACTGCTTATTTACAGATCATTTAAGTGTTTGGTTGCAGACCATTAATTACAGTTTGGGGGGGATTTAAAGCTAAAGTGTCAGGAGCCCCTGCCAATATGGAATTAAGTTAAAAGTGCAGACAAAGCATTTCTGAAATTATAATGTATGTGAAGTTGAAAGGGAGATTGGACTCGTGATGAAGCTTTGGATTTTGGGAAAAGCTTTGGATTTGTAGTCCCAGTAGACCTGGGTTTAAATCTGACTCTGACATTTACTACCTGTGTGGCTTTAGGCAAGACAACTTTCTCTGCTCTACAGTTTTCTTCATATGTCAGAAGAGGGTGTGGACGATATGACCTCTAATGACCCTTTCAACGTGAAATATGATATTTTAATGTGGTCCTCTGTAATTCATCCGCAGTATATTTAATAGACATCTTTTGAAGTCTATGTTTAGTATTTAAAGATCACCTTTTCTGATATAGGCAGAGCTTGAAAAATATATCAGGTCAACTTGTTGGGGGCCAGTGAAAGTTGATAGTTGGGGAAAGTGGTTCAATTTAGGACCTAGAAAGAGCCTATGGAATTTCTGTAGATAGTTTTTTCCCCCCTTGGCCTCAGGTAAACTCAGGATAGGCTCAGAAGGGGAATCTTGATGACTATAAGAGGGAATGGCTCCAGGAAGATTGGGAAAAGACCCTTGGAGAAACTGGAGCATGGGGAGATTTCAGGTAGAGGTAGTGCCTTTAGGACAACCCTGCATTCTAGGAAAGAAAGAAGACAAGAATTCTCTACTTCAGCTCTCAGTGTCAGTTGCCCACCTGTTTGCTGAGAGTCACTGTGAATTATTCGTGGACCACAAAGTGTCAGAGATAGGATGGACCTTGGAGTCAACCAGTATAACCCCTTTACTTTAAAAAGAGATAAACTTGGTGGAGCAGTCGATAGCATGCTGGAGTCAGGAAAATCTGAGTTCAAATCGACCTCAGTCACTTACTAGCTGTGTGATGATGGGCAAATCACTTCATCTCTGCCTCTGTTTCCTTATCTGTAAAATGGGGATAATAATAACACCAACCTCCAGGTTGTTATGAGGCTCAAATGAGTTAATATTTGTAAAGGGCCTGGCAAACCTTAAAGTGCTCTGTAAATGCTACTTTGTTATTATTGTTATCATCTACATCATCATCATCATCATCATCATCATTATTATTATTATTATTATTCCTCCTCTTCCTGTTAGGTACCTGAAACACAGATGGTGAAGTGACTTGTCACAAGTCTCATAGTGAATTAACAGCACAAAATCCCAAGTGTCCTTGCTTCCCCTCTCCTGCTTTTCCCACTATGCCATTTTCTGGTGACTCCAAACATATTTTTTTTACCCAAGTACAATTATCCCTTCCACATCACGGGGGGTGGGAGTGTGGTGCCCCCTGAAATCTGGAAAATCCGTGGAAATATTTATATATTTATATTTATATTTTATGTATTTATATATATTTTATGCATTTCTGAGTTTGTGTTGTCTGCGGCTCCTACAAAACTCCCCCAAAATTCCCATTTAATTTCTCCAAAACTGTGATGGAGAAAGTCACTATGTGGAAGGGATTACTGTAATATTGAAACTTTTTTTATACCTATAAAAATATATAGATTTACATATGTCTTTATATGCACATAGCTAAATTGTACATTTATTGTACATAACTAAGTTACCCACAACTTTTATTAGAAGCCCCTGCCTGTGCTGCATTAAAATTTTCAGTCCTTCTGTTGTGTATATGGAGGAAGAGCAACTTATTTTCTTGCAAATCCTCCTCCGTTGCCAAGGGGCTCAGATTGCTCTGTTGAGTTTTCATGCAAAGCTTCTTTTTTGGGGGCCTCATTACAGCCCTCCAGCCCTTACTGTTACTGAACTGCTTCCTCCCAAGGATCCCAAATTCAGAGTTTTACAGCTGGAAAGCCACCTACCTTAATAGTCCAATGCCCTCTCATTTACAGTTGCTGAAACTGAGGCCCAGAGGGTTGAAGGAATTTGTTCAAAGGCCACAAAGTCAATAGCAGAGCTGGGTTTCAGACCCAGGTCCTCTTAGCCCAGATCCAGAAGACTCATTTCCTCTGATGGTTGTGTCTCTTCTCCTGTTTCCAGGCTCACTGGTTAGAAAGGTGATTCTGAAACCATTCAGTGCTAAATCTGTGCTAGGATACAGTGATATGTCATCACTTCTCACCTGAAGGAATGATCTGTTTGAGTGTGTTTTGTCATTACTGGTTTACCATGCCCTCCACCCTCCTATACTATGCTTTTAGTTATTCTGTTGATTTAGATCCCTTAGGAGCAAAATAGCTTTTGAATGGTTGTGTTTTCTGTTTAAGTTAGTAAATCATAATGGAGCTGGGCTTTACAATTTGAGCTTTGTACTACATCAGGTCTCCAAGTTGGAAATAACCAGTTACTACCTACAGAATCCACTTGAATTTTGAGTAGATTCTGAGTTTCCTGGAGAAAGATTTCAATCAATCGGATTAGGCAGGTGGCTTGGAAAAACAGTACACAACTTCAAGTAATCTGGTTAACCTCTCTCTCTCTCTCTCTCTCTCTCTCTCTCTCTCTCTCTTTCTCTCTCAGATGGTCACAAGGACAAAGAAAATCTTTGTGGGCGGATTATCTGCGAATACAGTTGTAGAAGATGTAAAGCAATATTTTGAGCAGTTTGGCAAGGTAAGTACCTGTGTGTTGGATGGTGGGAGCCAGAAGGTTATCCACTTTGTGTTTGGAGTTCTCTTGCTACCTTCAGAAAGGCCTAGAATGACTCATGTTCATATCTAAATTCAGACAAAATCAGTAGGAGTTGAGAAGGAAGGGTCAGACTTGTAGTGAATGCACTGGGTTGTATAGGCCTCCATGAGTAGAGCCTAACCTTTAGTCTGATCCTGCTGGCATTTTGATATAACATAGGGGAGAGAGGCTAGGAGATTAGGCGTAGGAATGGAGAATTAGTGGCTGAGGATCTGGAAAGAATCTGGATTATGAATTTGAGGTGATAGTGGTTTTGACAGAAACTAAAGAAGAGAGAGGGCTCTTAGTCATTAGTCACTTGGCCTGACGCTGTTGTTTTCTGGAAAATACGTTGACAGGATTTCAGAAAAAAACATGGGGATTTGTATGAACTGATAACAGAGCATGATAAGCAGAACCAGGAGAACAAGATGTAGAGTGACTACAGTAATTATAAATGAAAATGATCAGTAAAAGGAAGTTGAATACTGAGTAATGGAAAAACCAATGAGCAACCTGGAGAGAAGATGATGAAACATACCCTTCCCTCATGACAGAGGTGGAGAACTAACAGGACAGAATATTGTAGACATTGTCAGGTGTGACTTGTGTATTGGATAATTTTACTGAATTGTTTTCTTTGTCACTAGGAATGTTGAATCTGGGAGGGGGGAGTAAGTGGGGGAAAGGCTGCTATAAAAACAAGGCACCAATAATATGTGCAAAAATGTAAAAACAGAAGGAGAATATTCAATTTTAGTGTGAGATTTATTCTACTTCTCTAAGTCTAGTAAGTAAAATCTAAGATTTTCTCATCTACATCTTCATATGTCTATAATGCACCCAAATGAAAAGTCCCCCCCAAAAAATAAAAAAAATAAAGAAAGAAAAGAAAAGAAAAAAAATAAAAAGAAAAGTCCCAGAGCTATTGAAATCATATGTTTGTTCTTCTATAAGAAGGAAAGGGGAAAAATTTGGAAATTATAATAAACCCAAAGGAATGAGAGAGGGAGAGAGAAAGAGAGACAAGGACAGAGATAGAGGAACAAACGGAGAGAGGAAGGAGAGGGAGAAGAGTGAAGGAGACAGACATAGAGACAGGGATAAAGAGACACAAAAATTGGAACAAGCATGGATAGAGGAGGCTTTCTTGGGTTCTGTACGACTGAGCCTTCTCTGCTAAGACACCCAAGGGAGAGCCTGTGAATGCAACCAACCTATAGCTGTTAAGAGTTCTCAGGCTGAATGTCTGTGAGATGGCAGTAAAAGTATCCCTAAGGCCTCTGTTGCCTAGAACAGGAGGGGAGCAACATTTAGAGCCATAAATTAGTCAGGAAAGAGTGTGGTCTTTTTGCTGTGTATTCACTTCTGCCTTGAGGACCCCCACCTTTTTTTTTTTGTTGCTCTGTTTCTATGGGGAATCTGGTCCCACAGAGTTTGGCATTTTCCTTGGAGAGGCGCCTTTCTTGTGCATATGTGTTCAAGAACCCTGCATAGTGCCTTGTGTGGTGCACACTCTGCACTTAATTAAAATGTTTGTTGAATTGATTTCAAGTGGCAGCTGTTATGTAGCTGTCCCCATTGCAGTCCTGGGATAATAACAGCTCACATTTGTGTAGCTGGGATAATAACAGCTCTTTGCATAGAGTATCTCAATTGACCTTCACAACTCCACTGTGAGCTAGGTGATCTTATTATTCCCATTTTACAGGTGAGGAAACTGAGGCACAAAGTGGTGAAGTGATTTTTTTTTTCTATTGTCACACAGCCAGTAACTAACTATCTGAGGTGGGGTTTGACCTTGGGTCTTCCTGACTCCCTACTGAGCTTGGGCAGCCTGAGTCATACCCAGGATGGCTGAGCCAGGTGAGGTGGGGGGGGGGGGGTTGTTACCAAACTACCCCGTGATTCAATCTCTCCTTACCCTTACGTTTACCTTACCATCTCTTCCAATTCTGCTTTATGGTTTAATTTATTGTGTGTGTCCTTTTTCTGGTGCAGATTCTGTGATATTCTTAAGTCTTCTCTTCTAGACTCCAAAGGACTGACACCTCATAGACCTCTGGTTTAGAGGATGTCATTGTCTAGGAATGGTCAGTCTTCTATTATTATCAGAAGGTCCTTTGTTTATCGAGTGATGGAGAGGCTGCATGTAATAGTGCAGGGATTCTTAACCTTTATTTTGTGTCTTGAACTCTTGGCAGTCTGATGAAATCTAGGGTCCTTTCGTCAGAATGATGTTTTTTTTCTTTCTTTTTTTTTTTTAGGCAATTGGGGTTAAGTGACTTGCCCAGGGTCACACAGCTAGTAAGTGTCAAGTGTTTGGTCTGAGGCCAAATTTCAACTCAGGTCCTCCTGACTCCAGGGCCAGTGCTCTATCCACTGCACCACCTAGCTGCCCCCAGAATGATGTTTTAAAATAATTGAGAGAAATGCTAAATTTCACTTAGAGCTTAGTAAAAAGAAAAATATAATTTTTTCCCATCTTTGTTCATGACTCTCTTGTAATCTGTCCACAGACCTCTTGGTGGTGGTAGGGTATCTATGGATTCCAGGTTAAGAACCCCTGCAGTAGTTGATAAGAGAACTGGATATGAAGGATATAAGAAACATCTGTGTTCAAATCCTGCTGCAAGCACTTACTAGTTCTGTGACTCTGGGAAAGTCTTTTAATTTCTCTGTGCCTCAGTTCCCTCATCTATAAAATAAGACAGTTGGACTCAGTTGTCTTCTAAGGTCCCTTCCAGCTCTAAATCTCTCATCCTGTGTCTGATAGTCATTAGGCCATGAACTTGGAGTAGGTACAGAGTAACACTAAACCTTTCAGATGACCTTCACCCAGTTCCCATCCCAACCAAGAGCGTGCTTTTGTGAGATCACTGGATGGGAGTAAGGCTATCGTCTTTGGCCTTGGGGTCGAGTTTTTCTCCATGTGAAGTTAATCGACCCACATGGGGATCGAAGCCAAGTAACAGAAAATCAAAACTCTGTATCCTGTCCTTTGTAATTTGGCACATTGACACAGCTGTCCCCCAAGGTTGATTCTGAAACAACTTTACAAATAGCTACTTGCTGATTCCCTTGGGTTGAGTGATGATTAATGCCGAGAAGGCTGTATGGAATACCAACATATTGGTTGAGTATTTCTCTGTAAAGCTGATTTAAAATACCAGGCAAGTGTCACCTAACACCTAATGCTACCTTGTTAGGGGAAAAATCTGGAAGGAGTTGAACCATCTGATTTCCATTGATCTGATGATGAGCCCACTGTGGAGTAAGGGTAGTAGGGATGCTCTCATTCATGAGTTGAAAGTCCTTTTTTTTTTTCCTTCAAGTCTTAATCTGTTTTGGAATTTCATAAAGATATTAAAGGATATAAAAAAAGGAAATTGATTTTGCTTGGGAAACACTTATTGCATTGCTCCAAACAGGTTCCTGCCTGTTAGTGTGCTGTCTCTCTCCTCTATACCCCTACTTTAAGTTTCTTCTTTTTCTTAAAAAAAAAAAAAAAAAACTTACAACAAAACACATTTAAGATTGTGGGGGTTTTTTAAAATTAGCTTTAGAACATATTTTGTTGGTATTTTTGTTTTTACATCAGTTGCATTTCTGATTGTGTACTTCCCTTCTCCCTTACCCAGAGATCCAACCCTTATATCAGAGAATAAAAAAGAAAGAGGGGGAAAAAAGCAAGTTGACAAAACCAACACACCAACGGAATGAGGGTATATGTAATATACCATATCCTTAGTCTCCCTACTTTTGTATTTATATTAGCTTTTTAAAATCTTCTAATTTTAAATAAATTCTATTTGAATAAATTCTTTTAAATAAATTCTTCTAATTCTAATAAAAAGCTTCTTATATAATGCTTTACAGTTTATAAAGTACTTTATGTGCTTCAACAATTCTGTTAGGTAGTATAAGTATCATACCCATTTTATAGATGAGAAAAGTGAGGTTCACAGGAGAACATTGTACATATTAATAGCCACGTTGTGCAATGACCAACTTTGGTAGACTTAGCTCCTCTCAGCAATGCAAGGATCTAAGACGATTCCAAAAGACTCATGATGGAAAATATTATCTACATCCAGAGAAAGAACCATGGAGTCTGTAAACAGATGGAAGCATACTATTTGCTGTCTTTTTGTTGTTGTTGTTGTTGTTGTTGTTTTGTTTCTACTTTCTCGTGGTTCCTCCCATGGGCTCCAATTCTTCTTTACAACATGACTAATGTGAGAAAGAAAACAAAAAGAAAAAGAAAAATGAGGTTCAGAAAAGTGAATTGATTTGACCATGGTTGTATAGACAGTAAGTGGCAGAGCTAGAATTTGAACCCATGTCTCTTAGCTTCTTATTAAATGTTCTTTTTTTTTTTAGAAAAGTCTTTTTTTTTTTTTAACTTGCTGGGCAATTGGGGTTAAGTGACTTGTCCAAGGTCACACAGCTAGTACATGTTGTGTGTTGTGTGTTGTGTGTCTGAGACTGTATTTGAACTCAGGTCCTTCTGACTTCAAGGCCAGAGCTCTATCTACTGCACCACCTAGCTGCCCCTAGAAAAGTCTTACTGATACTTTTTACCCATGGTTAACATTTCCTATGATCATTTCCCCAATATAGCTTTCCCTTGTGAAAAAGAACTATTCCTGTACCTTTTCTCAGACTTATAGACCACACATTGCTACCTCACTCCTCTGATGGCGTGACTGGCCCTAATATTGATCTGAATCCTGTTGTCTTTCGGTATAATTTTCCTTTAGATAATTGTGGTTACTGTGTATGTGATTCTTCTTATTTGGCTTTGCATCAGTTCATACAAGTCTTCTCAAGTTTTTCTGAATTCTTCCCATTTAATTCTCTTTCCATAACACTGAAAAATAGACGTATAAATGGCGTCTTAAAACAGCTCCACTTTTGTCAGGGAATGGGTTAACTGTAGT